AAGAGAGAGAGAGGATAAATAATGCTTAGGTGGTGTGAAAAACCAGAGGGAAATATATTAGTTCAAAAGCCTCCTCAAAATACACATACAATAAATATAAGAGTACCTGTACAGCTAAAGACTATAAAACAAGAAACACAGTGCCATACAGGAGAAATGTCACTTTGAGTTCTTGGTGAGGGCAGTAAAGACTCTCAAAATATAACACAGGCTGTTGCCACAGCCCTTGATTGCCATCTAAAACTTGAAGAAAAGACTACTGCTGAAGACAGGACATACTTCAGATACAGGACTTGGAGCAATGGAGTGGGACTGACCTGGAAGCCTCCTCCCTGAGGACTAGTTCTCATAGTTTCAGAGGATGCTATGCAAACTGCTAACAGAGAAAATCAATCAATGGTCCAACCCAGCTGTAAAGCCTAATCACCATGAGTGGAACAGCAAACTATCTCTACTGGTACAGTAGCGGCACTTTTTGAAAAAGTTTTATTGAGCTTTTTTGCATTTCATATAATATTTCTTAATGTAATTTAGACCCCCATTCATGTCCCCACTGGGCCTCATGCATTCTGTTACATATGTTAAGTTCCACCCTGTCAAGCGTTTGTACCCAGATGCCCTTTTGTGCAACTTTGTGCACTGGAGTCTATCAACCTATTTAGCAATCTTAAAGAAGATCTACTCTCCCTCACCCAACAGTAATCAGTTGTCAACAGTTCCTAGGCTAGGGATGGGGTCCACTGACCGTTTCCCTCACTCCATGCTGGGCCCTTGTCTGTGACAGTATGGGTCTATGGACAATGCCACCATTGCCACAAGTTCACATGAGCAAGGTTCCTGTGGCCTGAAAGCCTCTAGCTCCCTATGTTCATGGACCAGTGCTGGCTCTTATACTCTTCCTGTCCCCCTCTTCTGCAATGGTCCCTGAGCCGTGGGTGGGTGAGCTTTAATATAGGAGTGCTATGCAGGGACACACACTCTGAAGTCTCTTATTCTCTGAAACTTAGCTGCGGCTTTCTGTGTGCATCACACTCTGTTGTATAAGCTTCGCTGGTAAGAGTCGAGGGATGCAGTAGTGTACCAAGCTGCTTCACAAAGAGTCTTGTGACTGGATGGCTGATGGCATACTTCCAGAGCCAATGTTCAATGAAAGGACAAAAGAACTATGTGACCACTGCAAACAGTGTACCCAGAATGCAAACCGCTGGGGCAAAACATGCTCTTTAAAAAAAAATTTTTTTTAAATTTATTATTTCTATTATTTTATGTGTATGTGTGTATTGCCTGTGTGTAGGTAAGTGCACCTGTGTCATGCAATGCCCATGGAGGTCAGAAGAGGCTGTCGGATCCCCTGGAACCGGAGTTACGGCCAGTTGTTAGCGGCCATGTGGGTGCTGGGATTTGAACCTGGGTTTTCTGCAAGAACCACCAGTGTTCTTAACCGCTGAGCCATCGCTCCAGCCCCAAAACCTGCTCTTAAGTTTTTGAAAACACTGGTTGGGCTGAAGCTATTCCAGGAAGGAGACAATTCTGGCACATATGTTTAGTTTAGAGGTCACTTTGATAACATTTATACATTGTATTCCTTAATTTCTTACTGTATGTAACCTGTTATTGTATGTCTTATGTGTTCTTGGCACAAGATTTTCTGTAAAATCAACCCATCCATTATTTTAGTACTGAATAAAAGATCAGGAATGAGAAGGATCTGCGTCTGTGGACGGTGAGTCTCAGATGCTCCACTGTGTCTTCCAGTCCTTTCGAGTCTCTGCTCACTCAACGACTACATCTGGCACTTGACATGGGGCTCAATGGATACAGCACATACCAGGAACACAGACCAAAAGGGAATGCTCTGAAGTAAGTGAAACTTTTGGGACTGTGGAGTCACGGGAAATTCCCGTTCAGTCTAGGCAGAATATATTGATACTTTGCAAGAGCTTTAAAAAAGCTCCAGAGTAAAAGTGAATCAGTCAAGTTTCTAAGTTTTTTTTCAGTTAGTTCATAAACATTGTTATTGGTTTCATCTCTTGCGGAGAGCCTCATTAAATCTAAAAGTTTGGAAGAAGTAAGTAATGAAAACTCTGCAGCAAGCTCATCAGCAAGGGGAATCCATTCCTCTGAGGGTCTTGTCTTTGTGCAATCATCGCTCTGGCCTTGGAACCCCTACAATCAGGATCTGAAGAATCAAACAAAGAATAGAAGCCATTCTGAGGTTGAAAAGAAAATGGAAAAATTAATGAAAGCCAGTCAATAATCATGAGGGTATTTATTTAAAGAAAGAACAAGAAAAGTCAGAAACAGATTCTAACTTCTCTGAGGTGGAAAGTAACACAGAAATAAAAGATGAGTGCTCCTTCCCATGTCCAACTGAAGGAAAGAAGTTTTTATAGCAGTTCCAAAAATTATCAGAAAAATTAAGAGATCTAGGGGACATGAATAAATCTTTTTCATTCCCTGCTGTAAAAGCAGTGCAACCTTCTGTCCCTGTGTATTCTCCACCACAATACAACAAATTTCCTCCATCGGTAAAGGTCCCCATGACTCTATTTATGCAATCAGTGCTAGATGTAAGAAAAAAGGAAGATTTAGAAGCCTTAAAAACATCTTTGGCATATCCTGTAACAATCCAGCAGGGGGCCCCAAATCAACAGTTTCCCAAGGATACTTGCAATAGTCTCCCTTGTCATTTAAGATAAGTAAGGAATTAAAAAGTGCTATAGTCATGTATGGAATGCAATCTAAATATATCAAAGGAATTTTGCAAGGAATGGCTAATGAATATCATCTAATCCCTTATGACTGGGATATGCTTTTGAGGACTACTTTGAGCCAAGGAGCCTTCGTGTAATTTAAAACTTGGGGGAGCCAGGTGTGGTGGCACATGCCTTTAATCCCAGCACTTGGGAGGCAGAGGCAGGCGGATCTTTGTGAGTTCGAGGCCAGCCTGGTCTACATAGTGAGTTCCAGGACAGCTGGGGCTACAGGGAGACCCTGTCTCAAAAAGACAAAAAAATAAAATAAAATAAAATAAAACAACTTGGGGGAGAGATGAGGCCAAACAAGCAACCAGGCACAATGCAGCCAGTGATGTTACTATCTCTAGTACGCAACTAAGAAAAAGTGGCCCATGGTTTGGTATACAAGCTCAACTTCAATATGATGATGCAGCAAATGTTCAAGTACGATTATGCTGCCTTGGAGCTTGGGATTTGGTAGGAGCTCCCAGTGAGATTTCTAAATCTTTAACAAAAATTTTACAATCTACCAATGAGCCTTACACTGATTTTTAAAAAAATTTTGTTTAAAAGAAACAACAGAAAACCAAAAATGTGTCAAACTTGGAATTATGAGACATGCTATTTGAAACCTTAGCACATGAAAATGCAAATTCTGAATGTCAAAAAGGTTTTTGTTTTCAAAAGTTTTGAAAGCCCAGGGAGGTCCCTTAGATGAAAATATAAAGGCCTGCATGGATATAGGGTCCCAAAGATATAAACCTAATCTACTTGCTGCCACTCTGAAAGGTATCTTTAACGCAAGTAAGACTAAATGCTTTACACCTGTGGAGGATTAGGACCTATGAAAAAGGACTGTCATAAAGGAAAAACTGCTAGAAATACTCCAAATGTCTCAAGGGATTCTAATAACCTTCCACCTGTACCTCACCCAAAATGTAGGAAAGGTAAATACTGGGATTGCTGATATTGTTCATGCCATTCTAGGCAGTGCAGCCATAGACTTAGTATTACCTGGTAATATGTTTACTGCCCCATAGAAAAGTTACAAAGTTACTGACTGGAGCATATGGGCCTTTTCCTTTTGGAACTCATGGACTAATTATAGGTAGAAGTGGCTTGACTTTGCAGAGCCTACAAGTACATCCTGGAGTTAGTGACAGTGACTATACAGGAGAAATAATGGTCACGATGAACTCCAACTCTTGTTCAATTAGAGGCAGGTCAAAAAATTGCTCAATTATTATTATTGCATAATGTAAGAGGAAAAACAAATCCTATAAAAAAGGATGGATTTGGAAGTACTGGGGGAAGGGTATTTTGGCAAAATTTTATTAATGATACTAGATCTGAAATTAGAGACACTGTTAATGGTATATCATTTAACAGATTACTAGATACTGTAACTATTTTTAAAGCCAGATAGCTCTCTGATTGGTCTCTTCAGAGGGTCTTGGCAACATTCACTGGAGGAGGAACTTCATCAGACTTTTATCGAAGTGCACACCAAAGTAGAAATTAAGAAAAATAAAAGAATTCCTGAAATTCAATGAAAAGGACAATACAACACAACAAAACCCCTGACACACTTTAAAATCAGTCCTAAGTGGGAAATTTATAGCTCTAAATGCCTACATTAAAAAATTTGAAAGAGCCCAAATAAATGACTTAACACTACAACTCAAGACACTGGAAAGGCAAGAACAAATGAAACCCAAACCCAGCAGACGAGAAAGAAAACAGTACAAAGAATCAATGAATCTAAGAGCTGGTTCTTTGAAAAGATAAACAATATTGAAAGACCACTAACCCAGTTAACCAAAAGAAAAAAAGAGCACCTCCAAATCAACAAAATCAGAGATGAAAGGGGAAACACCACAGCAGATACCCAAAAGATCCAGACCATAATAAGGGAATATTTCAGAAACCTATATACTACTACATTTGAAAATCTAAAAGAAATGGATGAATATCTAAAATCATGGGAACCACCAAAGTTAAACCAAGAAGAGATCAACAGTTTAAACAGACCCATAACATATAAGGAAATCAAAATAGTAAAATAAAGCCTCTTGACTAACAAAAGCCAAGATCCAGATGGATTTACAGAATTCTACCAGATATTTAAAGAAGACCTCCAACAAATAACACTTCAAAATGATAGAAACAGAGAGTGAACTCCCAATTTCATTCTATGAAGCCAGCATCACTCTAATACCGAAACCAGGTAAAGACACAACCAGAAAAGAAAAATATAGACTCATATCCTTAATGAATATAGATGCAAACCTCCCAAAAGAGCGCCATCATCTGGAGACAAAATGTCCAAACACTTGGAGCCTATGGGGGACATTTTCATTCAAACCACCACAATTCATATGGAAGCACAAAAGACCTGAGATGGCCAAAGCAACCCTGAGCACAAAGAGCAACGCTGGGGGGATTACTATACCAGATCTCAAAGTAGAGTACAGCGCTATAATCATAAAACAGCATGGTACCAGCACAAAAGTAGGCACATAGATCAATGGAACATCACTGAAGACCCAAACCTGAGTACATGCAATTTCAGCTACCTGATATTTGACAAAGTTGCCAAGAACACACATGGAGGAAACACAGTATCTTCAACAAATGGTGCTGGAAAAACTGCATCTATATCTGTAGAAGAATGAAACTAGATCCTTATCTTTCACCTTGCACAAAAGTCAACTTCAAATGGATCAAAGACCTCAATGTGAATCACAAAACCCTGAAACTATTAGAAGAAAATATTTGCAGTATTCTACAAAATATAGGTGTAGGAAAGGATTTTCTAAATTGGACAGAAGTTGCTCAGGAGTTAAGGTCAGCAGTCAGCACGTGGAACCTCATTAAACTAAAATGCTTTTGTACAGCAAAAGAAACAATCAAAAAATTGAAGAGAAAACCCATAGAGTGAGGGAAAAAACTTCACCAGTGACACATCTGACAGAGCTTTAACATCCAGAATACATAAAGAACTGAAAAACAAAGAAACAAGAAAGAAAATGACCCAAAATTAAAAGATAGGCTAAAGATCTAAACAGAGAGTTCTCAAAGGAAGAAATAAAAATGGCTATGAAACGTCTTAAAAAGTATTCAACATCGCTAGTAATTAGGGAAATGCAAATTAAAACCTTACCCCAGTCAGACTGGCTAGGATCAAGAGAACAAATGATACCAAATGCTGGTGAGGATGTGGAGAAAGGGGAATGCTCATTCACTGCTGATGGGTTTGCAAACTCCTGTAGCTTCTATGGAAAACAGTGTAGAGAACTCTTAACCTACCATG